CTCAAGGCCGAGGAAGCCAAAGCGAGAGCGAGCGCGGCCTACCATGCGCGCCATCTTGAGGCCGCCCCTCACGGAGCGCAGGAAGGCCTGGTTCACCTCCACCATTTTCGCCACAGCCGAGCCGTTAGTCCCCGCGAGGCTGGGAGGAGGAGAAGGGCCCTCGGAAGGAGCGGGCCTCAGAGGCGGGAGGCTCCTCAGAAGCGCCTCCTCGCCAGAAGGAAGCCTTCCATTCTGCCTCTGGGCTGATTCATATCTGCCAAGTGTGGCAGGAAGCTCGGTTGCAAGAACACTGCTCCTCACGCCCCACTCAGTTCCTTCTCCCCAGTGAAGTTCCTTCTTTGTGCAGTTTGAAGTGTAGGCCCCTTCCACGCAGCTGAATAAAACCCCACAGTATCTGCTTTGAACTGGAATATATGGCAGTGTGGACTCAGATAACCCAGCTCAAAGTAGGTAGTGTGGGATTTTCCGCCTTCATATTCTGGGTTATCTGGCTGTGTGGAAGGGTCCAAACAAGCCCTTAGAACTTGTTATTTTAGGGCCATTCCACACAGCTGCATGAAATCCACATTGAACTACATTATATGGCAGTGTGGACTCAAATAACCCAGTTCAAAGCAGATATTGTGGATTCTCTGCCATGATATTCTGGGATGTATATCTGTGTGGAAGGGCCCTTAAGTTTCCTATCCATATAATAATAATAATAATAAACTTTGTTTATACCCCGCCACCATCTCCCCATTCAAGAACAGAAAACAATGTTGGTGGGCAGGAAAATAGATTTAAAGATGGGCTCAAAGCCAACCTTAAAATCTCTGGCATAGACACAGAACTGGGAAGCCCTGGCCCTTGAGCGCTCCAGCTGGAGGTCAGCTGTGACCAGCAGTGCTGCAGAATTCGAAGAGACACGAATGGAGGGTGATCGAGAGAAACGTGCCAGGAGGAAGGCATAGCAAGCCAACCTCAACCGAGACCGCCTCCCACCTGGAAACCAATGCCCTCACTGTGGGAGAAGATGCAGGTCAAGAATAGGGCTCCACAGCCACCTACGTATCCACATGAATACTGATCCTGGAAGACTATCCTACTCATCCAATGCCTAAGTAAGTAAGTAAAGTACCATCTCCCCAACGGGGACTCGGAGCGGCTTACATGGGGCCAAGCCCGAACAACGAACTACAAAATAACAATACAAATTGCAGTAAAATAAACAACATAACATTAAAATGTAAAACATCAAAACCTGTAAAACAATATATACAGAACATAGGAACCAAACATGTAGGGGCAAAGAAACCAAAATTTCCCAAAAAGGCAGAAGCCCCCTTTCTAATAGGGAGGGCAAGGATGGACACCATGAAAGTTGAATTTTCAAACTGCAAAAAGCTATTTATTGCGTGGCCATAGCAATAACGACAAACAAGCATACAGGGATGCAATCAAAGGGTTTGTCGCAACCCCCACTGGGGCTGCAGAGCTTTTATAGTAAATGGAATATACATTTTCATTGGTTCCCAAAGACAAATCATTCGTCTATACAGTTGGTCATTAGTTGTTTATAATTTTGATTGACATTATGGCACACATGGGATCCTAACAATGGCACAACTCTAACATATCTATAGTCCATTGTTCTCTGACCGTGACTGTATCTTATCTGTTAGTCTGTTGCAAACATGGCTACAGAGCTACTGGGAAACTTGGGGATTCTAACTAGCCAACAGCTAGCTGGTTTTGTCTGGATATACTGTTATCCTTGAATAGTAACTTCTTTGGAGCACTGATTTCTCAAACAATCAGCATTTTCTGTAAACATAGGCCTACTGCAGAAATAGGCCAATATGGCAGTAACTCATAGCATATGAGCATTGGGAGCATCTCTGAAAATTCCCTTTTTAAAACCATGTCCCCTCCAGTATGAATCAGAATTTTTTTTTTATAATGTAGGCGCATACCTAAAGTTTTGTTTTACATAGTTTTGAAGATCAAATTAGGTAGGTGACGTCCCCCATTCTCCATACACTGAGTAAACCGATTTCTGGCGTTTGTCATGACTCTTGCCAACATACCAGGCGTTCTGTTGGCAGTTTCTTCCTGGATGTTGGTCTTCCAATCTTGTAGGGTCCTTGGACGGTTCACATAAACATGGGATTTCAAAAAACTCCATAGGAAAAAAAATCACAAGGGGCAAATCTGGAAAGCGGGGCCGCCACTCCAAATCTGCTCGAAAAGTAGGCCTCAACAGCAAAAGCACGCTCCTCACTGTTCCAATGCATGATGGTGACTGAACTGTGTCAGGACAAAACTTTATACTCCTGCCTCTCGAACGAGACCACTAGTGCTCCGCTACGACTTCAACCGACTGAATGGTGCGCATTTTAAAAAAGGAAGTTATGCTGCCTCACTCTGTACATTATACGGCAGTGTGGACTCAGATAACCCAGTTCAAAGCAGATATTGTGGATTCTCTGCCTTGGTATTCTGAGTTGTATGTTTGTGGAAGGGCCCTTAAGTTTCCTATCCATAAACCCAGGTATCTGCTAAACAGTTTCACAAGCCCCTTCCCCACAGCCCTATATCTCAGAATATCAAGGCAGAAAAATCCCACAATATCTGCTTTGAATGTGGGATTTTTCTTACTTGATATTCTGGGATATAGGACTATGTGGAAGGGCCCTCAGTACTTCGGTATGTGTATTAAATGTACATCTTTTTTAGGCATAATAGAAATGTATATTTCTAGTACTGTACTGTTCAACATACTGTTGATGCAGACTGTGGCCAGGAAATCAGAAGACGCTTACTTCTTGGGAGGAGAGCAATGTCCAGTCTCGATAAAATAGTAAAGAGTAGAGACATCACACTGGCAACAAAGATCCGCCTAGGCAAAGCCATGGTATTCCCTGTAGTAACCTACGGATGTGAGAGCTGGACCTTAGGGAAGGCTGAGCGAAGGAAGATCGATGCTTTTGAGCTGTGGTGTTGGAGGAAAGTGCTGAGAGTGCCTTGGACTGCGAGAAGATCCAACCAGTCCATCCTCCAGGAAATAAAACCCAACTGCTCATTGGAGGGAAGGATACTAGAGACAAAGTTGAAGTACTTTGGCCACATCATGAGGAGACAGCAAAGCCTAGAGAAGACAATTATGCTGGGGAAAGTGGAAGGTAAAAGGAAGAGGGGCCGACCAAGGGCAAGATGGATGGATGGCATCCTTGAAGTGACTGGACTGACCTTGAAGGAGCTGGGGGTGGTGACGGCCGACAGGGAGCTCTGGCATGGGCTGGTCCATGAGGTCACGAAGAGTCGGAGACGACTGAACGAATGAACAACAACAACAACTGTTCAACATCTTTATTAATGACTTAGATGAAGGTTCAGAGGGTGTGCTGATCAAGTTTGCAGATGACACCAAATTAGGAGGGAGAGCTAATACTCCAGAGGACAGGATCAGGATGCAGAAGGACTTTAACAGATTAGAGAGCTGATTGACCAAAACTAACAAAATGAATCTCAACAAGGGCAAATGTATGTACTTTTTGCAGAAAAAACAAAAAGGATGACGCCTGGTTTGACAACAGTCTATGTGAGAAAGATCTTGGAGTCTTCAGGGACAACAAGTTGAACATTAGCCAGCAGTGTGATGTAGCCGCTAAAAAAGCCAATGGGATTTTGGGCTGCATCCAAAGGAGTCTAGTGTCTAGACCAGGCATGGGCAAACTTCACATTGTGGGAGTTGAAGTTCAAAACACCTGGAGGACCAAAGTTTGTCCATGCCTGGTTTAGATCAAGGGAAACCATGTTGCCTTTGTATTTTGCTCTGGTTAGACCTCACTTGGAATCCTGTGTCCAATTCTGGGCGCCACAGTTGAGATCTAAATGGTTTGTTTTTGTACTTGTATCTATGAATGTATTTGGCATTGAATGTTTGCCATTTTTTTGTTGGAATCTGCCCTGAGTCACCTCGGGGAGAGAGGAAGGAATCCAAGGAAAGAATTATTTGAGAAACTGCAAGTCGCTTCTGGTGTGAGAGAATTGGCCGTTTGCAAGGATGTTGCCCAAAATTACAACAGCAAAACAACAGAGAGGAAACAAACAAGGACATCTAATCTCCTTTCAACAAAAGATTGCCCCAGGCACTGCCAAGCCATCAAATGCTAATCAATGTGGTCAGTTGAAACATTCACACCTAGCTCCAACTGACAAGAGTTCTTTGTCCCACCCTGGTCATTCCACAGATATATAAACCCTTTTTCCTAGTTCCAACAGACCTCACAACCTCTGAGGATGCTTGCCATAGATGCAGGCAAAATGTCAGGAGAGAATGCCTCTAGAACATGGCCATATAGCCCGAAAAAACCACAACAACCGATGCCCAACTCTTTCAGCCGCTCCTCATAGGGCTTGTTCTCCAGACCCTTGATCATTTCAGTCATTCCACCTTGTCAACATCTCCCTTCACTTCTGATGCCCAGAACTGGACACAGTGTAATTCCAGGTGTGGCAGAATAGAGGGGTAGCATGGCTTCCCTGGATCTAGGCACTAGACTCCTATTGATGCAGGCCAAAATCCCATTGGCTGGTTTAGATGCCGCATCACATATAAGCTGGGAAGTTAGAAAGACACTTCCTCTCCTGCAGAGCATTTGTGTTCTTCCTCAAAGGGAAGGGAGGGGCTTTCCTTCAGTGCCTGGAGCAGCGGTGGCCACGCCCCTTTGCCTGCCGCTCGGCCTTCTGGGAGTTGTAGTCAAAAACTGCTGGCAGCCGGAAGTAGCAGTCAGGGAGAAGGAGGAGCGGCCAGATGTAGGCCATGCGGCTTCCTCCGTGGCTCTGCCGGCCTGGGTCCCTCCTGCGCCGGAGCCTCGGGTTCCGCATGAGCTCTTGCCCTCCGAAGACGCAGGAAGCGGCCGGTCCAGGTGAGGGCCTTTTGCTTGATGGCAAGCCTGGGCAAACTTGGGTCCTCCCTCCAGGTGTTTTGGACTGGGGATTACATAAATAACTGGGGATTACATAAATCGTCGTGCAAAGAAAGCATGGAGTGTTGGCAGTAGTCAAGCTAGAACAGGCCTGGGCAAACTTCGGCCCTCCCTACAATTGTGGGAGTTGAAGTCCAAAACAAATGGAGGGAGGGCCGAAGTTTGCCCAGGCCTGTTCTAGCTTGACTACTGCCAACACTCCATGCTTTGGGTTGTAGGTTTTTTCAGGCTATATGGCCATGTTCAAACTTTTTCAACAGAGGGCCAGGTCACAGTCCCTCAAACTGTTGGAGGGTGGATTATAATTTGAAAAATACATGAATGAATTCCTATGCACACTGCACATATCTTATTTGTAGTGCAAAAAAACCACAATACAATAATTAAAATAGTTGTTAGATTGGGGGTATTGAGATAATGATACAAAAGGTTTGCTAGGATAGATCCTCTCTCACTCAGACTCAGCCCCCCGAGTCCAGTAGATCCCAACCTTTGGTTCTCCAGCTGTTTTGGACAGCAGCACCCACAGTTCCTAAGAGTTGGTAAACTGGCTGCTGGGATTTCTGGGAGTTGAATATGTGACTTCACACACTACAGTGCCTGCATTATTGTAGGTATTGTATTGTATTGTCCTTCGGGAGATGCTAGCGGGGTACAAATAAAGTTATAATAATAATAATAATAATTATTATTATCAACTTCCTTTCTAGCTGTTCAGCTTTTCAAATTTTGAGTTCAGAGTTCAATTGGGATCCTTCTACAGCCGAAGCATTGTGTCCAATGCAGGAGAGAGAGGCATTGGTCCACTTGGGAAAACTCTGGAGTTTATAGATGGGCAAAGAAAAGAAATGGAATATTACAAGGTGGAGGACTCCCATTATTATTATTATTATTATTATTATTGTTATTATTATTATTATTTTTATTAACTTTATTTGTACCCCGCTAGCATCTCCCGAAGGACTCGATGCGGCTTACAAAGGCCAAGGCCTCAAAACACAACATAACAATACAACACCTAAAGCAAATTAAAAACAATTAAAGCAATATTAAACAACAAGCAATGAACAATACATCAAGACACTATAAAACTGGGCTGGGCCAGAGTAATGGGTACAGGATTAAAAGTGCTGATGTGACAGGTGATATGTAAGGATTATATATTATAATAATAATCATAATCTTTATTTATACCCTGCCACCATCTCCCCAATGGGGGACTCAGAGCGGCTTACATGAGGCTAAGCCCAAATTACAATTACAATAAAGAAAAACCAAAAACACAAACCGAAAACGCGAACAATAAACAATAACATCATAGTTACATAACAATATAAAAAATAAAAAATATGCACAGGCACAATAATAATGAGCGGGCTACATGTAGTGATTAAAAAGACAAACTGATTAAAACTAATTAAAAACTCGAGCGAGATAAAAGAGGGAAGCAGGTAATTTACGGAGGAGGGCTCGTTTTAGCGGGAGTTGTGGAATCAAGCTTTCTCATGAGTGGGGATGTATACTCCAATGACAGAACTTTGGGGCAGAGCAGTCATGTGGGATTATATACCTACTCATCAAAGGAACAGCGGAAGAGCCAGGTTTTAAGGTCCTTTTTGAAGATTTCTAGGGAAGGGGCTTTCCTAATTTCTCCAGGCAGTGAGTTCCAGAGTTGGGGAGCCACAGCAGAAAAGGCTCTCTCCCTTGTACTCACTAGGCGAGCTTGAGAGACTGGCAGGGGCAAGAGAAGGCCTCCCCAGAAGATCGGAGGGCCCGAGATGGTTCATCGCGGGAGATACGGTCACAAAGGTATCAACAATGAGGTTTAAGCATGCTCAGTGGCCAAAGGATAGTAGCTAGTGGGCTGGAACCATAATGTGAAGCAGTGGTTCCCAATCTGTGGTATGTGGACCACCAGGGGTCTGCAAGAATGAAAATATTTATTTGCGTCGTTGTAGGTTTTTTAGGGCTATATGGCCGTGTTCTAGAGGCATTCTCTCCTGACGTTTCGCCTGCATCTATGGCAAGCATCCTTATCCTCACTACCTCTGAGGATGCTTGCCATAGATGCAGGTGAAACGTCTGGAGAGAATGCCTCTAGAACATGGACATATACCCCAAAAAAACTTACAACAACCCAGTGATTCCGGCCATGAAAGCCTTCGACAATACTCCATGCTTTCTTTGCATGACAGTTTATGTAATTCCCCAGTTATTGCCCAGACTGGCTTGAGTTGCTAGTTTTGCACTGCAAAATGTCTCGAGGATACCAGGTTGAGGAAGACTCCTCCCCCTTTATTATATCAAATTTGGGTATTACTGAAATATAATCTGAATGCAAATAGTCTTGAGTTACTTCCTAAATATTCCCCTCCCCCTCTTCTTCTTTTAAGATAAACACCAAGACAATGGAGGAAAAAAGAAGACAACTGTAAGTATGACGCCAACAAAGGCAAAGTTAATTGGGTTGCTGTGAGTTTTCTGGACTGTGGCCATGTTACAGAAGCATTATCTCCTGAGGTTTCTCTCACATCTATGGCAGGCATCCTCAGAGGTTGTGAGGTCTATTGGAAACTAGGCAAGCAAGGTTTATATACCTGTGGAATAATGTCCAGGGTGGGAGAAAGAAAGAAAGAAAGAAATATTGTCTGTTGGAGGCAATTGTGAATATTGCAATTTTAGACCTTGATCAGCACTGATTTGTGGAGATTAACATTTTCTAGAGAGGCCCTGCTCTTGGTCCCGCCTCTTCTGTAGGCACGGTTGGCGGGGGTGAGAGACAGGGCCTTCTCGGTGGTGGCCCCTTGGCTGTGGAACTCCCTCCCCAGCGATATTTGATCAGCTCCTTTCCTTTCAGTCTTCAGGAAATAAGTTAAAACATAGGACCAAGCTTTTGGAGATCAACTGCAGTACAATAAATGAACAAAGCATCTGTGCAATGACGTTTTGGAATGGCTCTGGACAACGACATTGGATTATGTGATTTTATTATCGATGTAACTGTTTTATGTGCTCTAATTCTCTGTTTTTATTATAGATGTTTTTACCAATTGTATGTTTTTAAGGCATTGAATTGTTGCCGATATGTGAAGCTGCTCTGAGTCCCCCTCAGGGTTGAGAAGGGTGGGATACAAATATGACAAATAATTAAATAAATGAATAACCTTGCAGCTTCAAAGCCCAAATGCTTCCTGCCCGGGGGAATCCTTTGTTGGAAGGTATTACCTTGTATACATTAGCACAGATATATAAATCCCACTTACTTAGTTTCCAACAGACCCCTCAACCTCTGAAGGGTGCCTGCCATTGGACAGTAAGTAAAGAAAGTAAAACGTAAGCCAAAAAAGCATTGGTGTATTCTTAAATACAAGATTGGGATTTGAAATTATAAATAGGCACCAAATGGGTAAAATCTTTCCTTTCGTATGGCTGATTATGTTCCCCAATGTTCCATATGTTATATGGGTATCACTTTCTTTAAAAAAAAACAGAAGTCTTTAGTTTTCTGACCTGCTAGCATTTTATTTAGCATTGATTGACTATGCTGTTTTGCTTTTGTTTTTATCAGATTTGCATTGAAGGAAACATTGCAAGTGGTAAAACTACATGCCTGGAATATTTTGCTAAAAACACCAACATTGAGGTAATGTGTTTGAATTTGTTATATCGGGCATAGGCAAATTTGGGCCCTCCCTCCCGTATTTTGGACTTCAACTCCCATCATTCCTAACAGCCTCAGGCCATATCCTTTCCCCCCTCAGCCGCTTAAGCCCAGTAATATTATCACTGCTGTTGATTTTAGATGTTATTATATTTTGCTTGTGTGGCCTCTCCATTACGCCAAGATTTGTATAGTTCTGAAATCTTTGCAAGATCCCACTCATTGCTTTCCTAGGGTTAAGGGGCAGAGCATTTTTGAAAGGCATGGTGTACCTGTTAAGTTAGGAAAAGCCTAGGAAAAAGCAGGCCCAAGAAGTTTGGCAGCCATTTTGGAAAGGGTGCCAGGGGAATCCATTTTAGTTACTCATTTCCTGAAGGTTGCGTGTTTAGAAAGAAAGGTTTTGGAGGGAAATGAGGGGAGTTAGTAATTGGCTGAGAGAGAGAGTGGGTGGATTGAATCAGGCAGATTGAATCTAGGTATTGAAGAGATAGGTTCTGGTGTTTGAGTCAGATAGACTCTGGGTTTTAAGGAAGGTAGATTAGAGTAGTATTCAGAGAGCTAGTAGAGAAAGAATAGCTGGAATACTGAAGAGGAACAGATCCTAGAGAAAGGACTGTGTGTAGTCAAAGAAGTCTAATCAGAGGAAGGTCTGCTAGATTCTCGTGAGTTAGGCGTTTAAGTGCAACCAAGAAGTGTTCCTGTGTAACTAAGAATGGAACTGCTTAAAGTAACCACAAGCTTTTTATGCCAATACTTTGAAACCAACTAAGCTTTATACCTGATTTGTTCAAGTTCTCTCAAATAAACATCATTGTTTTGTTGCTCACAACATCTGCCTCACGTGTGCCTCTGTGGGTGCAGTTTTAAAAGCAGCTTTACTGAAGAATCTCTAAACAAGTTAGAGAAACAGATTCTATACATTTGGTGGCAGTGAAGACTTAAAAGTTTCTCTATAGGAATCACCTCAGCATAGTACTTTAACTGGTGGCAGCGGCCTGAAGATTAGTTTGCCTTTAAGTTTGAGTTCAATGCCCTAAGTCTTTTTATACATGGCCTTTAATAGACCATAACCTTTTGGAAACATGACCATTTTGGAGATTAATTGGCATTCACACTATTTGGAATAATCATAACCTTTTGTAAAGTATGATTTTCCTGAGAAGAGTTAAATACTTGTTTGAGTGAATCTTCTCCTTAGTAGTAAATATCCACTAGTATTCTAACAACTGAGGTTTCTCAGTTGTTAGACTGATATGCCTGATTATCTCTTTGAACTGATAGGAACAAAGATATGCCAATGCATAAAATATATAGCAGATCTTCAGAAGTGTTGTTTCATTTGCGCAAAAACATCTACTCTCCCATAAAATATAAGTAAAGGGTAAAGGTTTCCCCTGACATTAAGTATATTCAGTTGAAAACGTGTTATGCTAGAGAATGTGCCTTTAAACATGTATTTCAAATTCAGGTATTGACTGAACCGGTGTCTAAGTGGAGAAATGTATGCGGCCATAATCCTCTGGTAAGTTTCCAAAAGATAAGTTTCTCAACCATTTTTAAGCTGTCAATTACCAGGTCTGCAGACTGATAATTGAAGAGGCAAAATGGTAAGACAAAAGTATCAACAACCTTGTGAGAACCCTAAATTTTAGGATTTTCCATAGCAGAGAAACCTCAGTAAAGGAATCCCACCATGCGTACAAACACATCCAGTAAGACATACCCTTATTTATGGTTTGTGCAATTGAATCCTCCCTCATTCTCGGATCCTCATCCTGATGATTTATATTGTCCTATCTCCCAGTTTTTAAATTTTTTAGCCTTGAATGTGGCCCTGCCCAATGAAATTCTCTGTTTTTAAATACATGTTTTATATTGTCTGTGTTGTTTAGTACATTTCTTTGCATTTGCTATATTTATGCTATGTTTTTGTATTACAATGTATGTACTGCACTGATGGGCTTGGCCTCATGTAAGCCACACCGAGTCCCCCTGGGGGAGATGGAGCAGGGTATAAATAAAGATTATTATTATTATTATTATTATTATTATTATTATTATTATTATCTCTTCATTTGTAAGATGCCATTGTTTGTAAGATGCACCCTGATTTCAGTACCACCACTACCAATAATACATAAGACACACCTGCAATTCTAATGTTTAGAGATGTTTATTTATATAGGAAAAAAGTGCCTCTTAGAATTGAAGAAATATACTTATTTATTTATTTATTTATTTATTTATTTATTTATTTATTTCTGCTGCTTATACCCCGCCCTTCTCACCCCCGAGGGGGGACTCAGGGCGGCTTACAAAAAGAAGGCACAATTCGATGCCCTTATCCAAATACATACAAATATAAAAACAATTACAATAATTAAACAATTAACAGATTAAAAACATCAATATATAACACAATAGCACAACAATAAACAGTCTCATGGTCAGTGTTTCGAGTTCCATAGGTCCAATAGGTTTCGTCATTATTTGCCCATCATTATGGTCTTTCTTTTTAGCTGCCAGAGTTTCCAAAAGCCTGGTCCCACATCCAAGTTTTCAGCTTTTTCCTGAATGAGAGAAGGGAAGTCGCTGATCTGATCTCCCCGGGGAGTGAGTTCCACAGGTGGGGGGCCACTACTGAGAAGGCCCTGCTCCTCGTCCCCGCCAGTCTCACTTGTGATAAAGGCGGGGTCGAGAGCAGGGCCTCCCCAGAAGATCTTAGACTCCGAGGTGGGATGTAGAGGGAGATCCGTTCGGACAGATACACTGGGCCGGAACCGTATAGGGTTTTGTAGGTCAAAACCAGCACCTTGAATTGTGCTCGGAATTGGATCGGCAGCCAGTGGAGCTGGCATAACAGGGGGGTGGTATGCTCCCTGTATGCCGCTCCGGTGAGCAATCTGGCTGCCTCCCGCTGGACTAGTTGGAGTTTCCGAGCAGTCTTCAAAGGCAACCCCACGTAGAGTGCGTTGCAGTAATCCAACCGGGATGTGACAAGAGCGTGGACCACCGTGGCCAGATCCGACTTCCCAAGGTACGGGCGCAGCTGGCGCACAAGTTTTAATTGTGCAAAAGCTCTCCCGGCCACCGCCGAGACCTGGGTTCCAGGCTCAGCGATGAGTCCAGGATCACTCCCAAGCTGCGAACCTGCGTCTTCAGGGGGAGTGTAACCCCGTCTAACACAGGCTGTAACCCTATACCCTGTTCGGCCTTACGACTGACCAGTAGGACCTCTGTCTTGTCTGGATTCAATTTCAATTTGTTAGCTCTCATCCAGTCCGACACAGCAGCCAAGCACCGATTCAAGGTCTGGACAGCCTCCTTGGTGACAGGTGAGAAGGAGTGACAGATTTGGACATCATCTGCGTAGAGATAACATCTCATTCCGAAACTCCGAATGATCTCCCCCAGCAGCTTCATGTAGATGTTAAATAACATCGGGGACAGAATTGAACCCTGTGGGACTCCACACAACAACGGTTGCGGAGTCCGAACAGGTGTCACCCAATAACACCTTCTGGGTCCGTCCCTCAAGGAAGGATCGGAGCCACCGCAGTGCAGTGCCTCCGAGCCCCATGTCCATGAGGCGCCCCAGAAGGATACCGTGATCGACGGTATCGAAGGCCGCTGAGAGGTCCAGCAGAACTAACAGGGACACACTCCCCCTGTCAAGCTCCCTGCGCAGATCATCTACCAAGGCGACCAAGGCTGTCTCAGTTCCATGTCCCGGCCTAAAGCCAGACTGTGCCGGATCTAGATAATCAGTGTCTACCAGAAACCCCTGGAGTTGTGTTGCCACCACACGTTCCATGACTTTGCCCAAATAGGGGAGATTGGAAACTGGCCGATAATTGTCGAATTGGGTGGGATCCAGTGATGGTTTCTTCAACAGCGGTTTTATAATAGCTTGTTTTAAGCTCGCTGGAAACTCTCCTTCTGTAAGGAGGTATTAACCATCACCTTCACCCACCCTGCCAAACCCCCTCTGGCTTCCTTGATCAGCCAGGAAGGGCAGGGGTCTAGGATGCATGTGGTGGGTTGCACCTCTCCAAGGATCCTGTCCACATCCTCAAGCTGAACCAATTGAAAAGAATCCAACAAAACTGGACAAGCAGATGCTCTCGTTACATCCCCAGAGACTGCCGTTAACATGGAGTCCAAACCCGACCGAATCCGCTCAATTTTATCCGCGAAGAATCGAGCAAATGCTTCACAGCGAGCCACCGAGTTATCAGAGATCTCGCTTTTTGGCGGATTTAACAGACCTCTGACTTAGTAATGTCAGAAAGCTGACTGACTAATGTGCAGTTGATTGAAGGGAATGGGAGTCTGAGCAGCAGCACTTCATACTGCAACATTGAGCCCCCGATGGTGCAATAGGTTAAACCCTTGTGCCGGCTGAACTACTGATTGAAAGGTTGGGTGGTTCGAATCTGGTGAGTGGGGGTGAGCTCCTGGCTGTCAGCCCCAGCTTCCCATGCAGGGACGTGAGAGAAGCCTCCCACAGGATGAGAAAACATCCAACCGTCTCCTGGACAACGTCCTTGCAGACGGCCAATTCTCTCACACCAGAAGCGATTTGCAGTTTCTCAAGTCTCTCCTGACACGAAAAAAAAGTACTGCAACGTTTTGTTGCAAGCTCTCATCTGTGTACATCAGTTAATTTAATCACACGATTTATATCTCAACTTACAATCTAAAGATCTCAGTTCAGCATAGAATAAAACCAACTTGAGCATTGTAAAAAAAAGTAAACATAAAGTGTATATTTAAATGTTTTATGGTGAAAAAGACAATAAAATAACCAGGAAAAATGTTTCTCATTACTTCAGAGTTTAATGTATCAAGATCCGACAAGATGGGGCATAACATTACAGACATATGTGCAGCTTACTATGTTGGACCAGCATATGAGGACAACGGTATGTTCAGAAAAGTTTGTTTCTTATAATGCAGCAGTTCTAATTTCTGACCGAAATATTTATTGGGTTGGTGTAGGTTTTTTCGGGCTATATGGCTGTGAGGACCTCACAACCTCTGAGGATGCTTGCCATAGATGCAGGCGAAACGTCAGGAGAGAATGCCTCTAGAACATGGCCATATAGCCCGAAAAAGCCTACAACAACCCAGTGATTTTGGCCATGAAAGTCTTCGACAAAATATTTATTTACTATATTTATACCCTGCCCTCGCTCAGAGTGGCTTACAATATATGTCTATGTACAATATATTATATTATTAGCATAGCACAATATTAGTATTATATATTATTATATTGTACTATACCACTCTACTGCAATATTAGTAATATTACAAACTATATATAATATATAGTTATTATATTATTATATTGTATTATCAGTAGTCTATCATATTACAATATTATGATCAATATTATAAGTACATACAATATAGTATATTATTAGCATAGCAGAATATTAGTATTATATATTAGTATATTGTACTATACTACTGTGCTGCAATATTATTAGTAATATTACATTTAATAGATAATTATTATATTATTATATTTTTGTTATATTGTATTACAATATTATGATCAATACTATAGGTACATACAATATATTATATTAGCATAGTACAATATTAGCGTTATATATTACTATATTGTTCTACACCATTCTGCAATATCATAAGTAATATTACATTTAATAGATAATTATTATATTATTATATTGTATTATTGTTATATTGTATTACAATATTATGATCAATATCATAGATACATACAATATATTAGCATAGCAAAATTTACCATTATATATTACTATATTGTACTATACCATTCTGCAATATCATTAGTAATATTACATGTAATATATAATTATATTATTATATTGTACTATTATTACTATTATATTGTATTACATTATAATATTATTATCAATATTATAACATGACAATTATATTGTGCTCCATAGTAAAACCAACAGTCATTATAAATTCTCCCATCTCAGGAGAATATTATAGGTATATACAGTATATTGTATTATTAGCATAGTACAAAATTATATAAAGCCTCAATGTGTTTAATTTGCTTTTGCTTAGGTTCACCACCATTCCTTTTTCACCCATTTCCTTCCATTGTTGACTTCTCCATTGGTGAAATGTTGTTTATAGGGATCTTGAGTCAGGTAGCCATTTATCTTAAATGCTTCCAGTGTCAGACTATCAAATGACTCTTGAAATGTTAATTTGCAGCTTTCTCCCGTAAAAATGATGGAGAGATCCATTCACAGTGCAAAGTACATTTTTGTAGAAAACTTGTATCGAAGGTACAGTATCCAGAGTTGTTTCCCCCCCCCCCCCCCCCGATTTTAGAGCTTGGTTTGTGTTGTAATTTTATGTTTGTATCTATGTTTCTGTTGTCCTGTATTAACCAACTTTGATAATATGTTCATATATTAATAATAATAATAATAACAATAATAACAACTTTATTTCTAGACCACCCTCTCTCCCCAAAGGGACTCAGAGCAGTTTACAGACACAAAACAAAAGGCAAACATTCAATGCCTCAAATGAATACAAACACATCAAAATAATACAAGATAATGCACAGAAACAACAGTAAACTTACAACAAAGAATTAAGCATTGAGATGGAAAAAAGCATTGAGATGTAATGGATTAGGGTAAATATAGTGAAGTTACATATTGTGCTAATCCAGTGGTTCTCAACCTGGGGTCCCTAGGTGTTTTTGGGCTACAACTCCCAGAAATCCCAGCCAATTTACCACCTGTTAGGATTTCTGGGAGTTGAAGGCCAAAAACATCTGGAGACCCCAGATTGAGAACCACTGTGCTAATCGAACTGGGCTTTCAGGTTTTATATTTTGAAGGTGAGGACTAGATTCATGATACAAGGAGAACATATTTTGAAGAATAATATCACACAGTGGTCTACAAACTGTGTGTCTCAGATGTTGCATGTTGAAGCCACTTTTGAGTCTGGCCCTTTAAGGTGTCTGTGATTCCAACAGTATATCAATTCAGTATCTGTGTTTAGTACACGTTATTATGTTTTTAGCTATGTAATTCTGCACTATGCTGGCTGTGGCTTCTGGAATGGAGGTTCAGCAACATCTGGTTGGAAATCTCTGCTCCTTGTTCAAACTTGTGCTGTTCATTTGAGGCATGAGATATCTATATATATATATACATGCTCTGTGCATAATGAGTACCTTAAAAACAAAAGAACCAATGAACGAAATCACACCAAATTTGGCAACAAAACGTCTCACAACACAAGGAGTGACCATCACTCAAAAATTATAATTTTGTCATTTGGGAATTGTAGTTGCTGGGATTTATCGTTCACCTAACATCAAAGACCTTTCTGAACTCCATCAACGATGGAATTGAACCAAACTTGGCACACAGAACTCCCATGACCAACAGAAAATATTGGAAGGGTTTGGTGGGCATTGACCTTGAGTTTGGGAGTTGTAGTTCACCTACATCCATTCAGTTAACCCCATGAATGACGAACCTCTTAAGCAGGACAGCTCCCCAACTATAGCCATTTCTTTGTTGGCAGTGGGAGGGAATGGGCCCTGTTAATGTCCTGTAGTTTGATGTGCTGCAAGGACCCCCAAAGTTCTCAGTAGATGCCTTTTGCAGTGAATAAAGATACAGGACAATACCTAAAAATAATATTATAATCAATGTTAAATTACATAGCTAAAAACATAAAAACTTGCACTAAACACAGATACTGAATTGATATATTGTTGGAATCACAGACATCTTAAAGGGCCAGACTCAAAAGTGGCTTCAAAACAGAGTTTATTAAAACAAAAGGAAAAGGACGCAGAGGTACTGAAATGCAGTGCCATGGTCAAAACTCAAGAAACAAACCAGACCTGGTCCAAAAAGGTTAATAGAAATATAATCTGGATTAACTGGATGCAAAAGAAATGAATCAAATAAAGTGCTCTGAGGCAAACCAAAAGGCACAGTACACAAATGGTTAACAAAAAGGAGGAGCCGCAGCAAGAGAGGCGTCGTCAGCCGAAGTCCAGGGTTGAAGCGGGAGGAATCCGAAACAGCGCTGCTCCAGTGTCTTTAGCTAAACCGGTCCAGGAAAGTAGAAGTTCACATTCACAAGAAGCTAATCCGGGACAATAACACGCAAACGATCAGGAGGTCCAAACTGTAGATCCCATACCAATGCCGAACACAAAACAGGCAGCAGCAAGTCTACAATAATCTTTTCCAATACACAGCACCCAACACACGAACGCTTATCAACACCTTGCCTTCTGCAAGGACCCATCACTCCTGAACCCACTTTTATTTATACATAATCATCAGAAGATGAACTGACCACCGCCCCATCATTATCCCCCGCAGCTTCTCCCAGCTCTTCACGTGAACTCCCTCGTCCTTCCCTCCAATTCCTCCATCTCCTGTCAAGACTTAGGTCCCCCCAAGACTCAGTTGGATCCCCTGATTGCCAGTCTTCACCCCCAGAGAACCTCATAAATGTATCACTAGTTGTTGGCTCCTCACAAATAGCTTGCACTTCTCTTATCTTAGTCCAATCCATGGTGTGTCCTTCTTCTCCTTCACTCCTTCATCTTGTTTTCATTTATAGCAACCATAAAAACAAATCGTTAGAGCATGTTAATAGGAGCATCTCCAGTCAAACAGGCCAGACTTTCTTTGAAAGTATATTTTAATTCAATTAATTACACAGCTATGCTATTTATTGAAACATGTTTTTTTTCTGTTACAGTGGGAAAATGCCAGAAGTGGATTATGTCGTTTTGACAGAATGGTTTGAATGGATCATAAAGAACTTAAGTGTTTCAGTTGATCTGATAGGTAAGTTTCCCATGCAACAAAATCACTTGCTGATCTCTAAACCAGCTCGCCATAGTAGTTTGTTCTGTACCACAACAATATATTTTGACATAATGTATACTGTAATCTGCTTCTGTTCCATCTCTCGCTCCCTTTTTTGGAATAATATTGACTTGGGGGAAAGGGAACCTATGCTTTTCTCTACCATCCATTTTGGTATTATGTAGAGTGTCTCCTGAGTTACTATTTCATCTGTAGAGTTCAGAAGGCACTTTTACCATAGTTTAGAGCAGGGCTTCTTAAACTTTTCTACTCGGGACCCTCTTTGGCCTGATGAATTTTTAGGTCATCCTAGATCAGTGTATCCCAGCAACCAAAACTCCCAAATGTCAAGGTCTATTTTTCCTAAACTGCACCAGTGTTCACATCTGGGCATATTGAGTATTTGTACCAAGTTTGGTCCAGATCCATCATTGTTTGAGTCCACAGTGCTCTCTGGATGTAGGTGAACTACAACTCCAAAACTCAAGGTCAATGCCTTCCAATATTTTTTGTTGATTATGGGAGTTCTGTGTGCCAAGTTTGGTTCAATTCCATCATTGGTGGTGTTCAGAATGCTCTTTGCTTGTAGGTGAACTATAAATCCCAGCAACTACAACTCCCAAATGTCAAGGTCTATTTTCCCCAAATTCCACCAGTGTTCACATTTGGGCATATTGAGTATTCATGCCAAGTTTGGTCCAGATCCATCATTGTTGAGTCCGCAGTGCTCTCTGGATGTAGGTGAACTACAACTCCAAAACTCAAGGTCCCACCAAACCCTTCCAGTATTTTCTGTTTCATGGGAGTTCTGTGTGCCAAGTTTGGTTCAATTCCATCATTGGTGGAGTTCAGAATGCTCTTTGATTGTAGGTGAAATATAAATCCCAGCAACTACAACTCCCAAATGACAAAATCAATCCCTCTCCCCAACCCCACCAGTATTCAAATTTGGGCGTATTGGGTATTTGTGCCAAATTTGGTCCAGTGAATGAAAATACATCCTGCATATCAGATATTTACATTACGATTCATAACAGTAGCAAAATTACAGTTATGAAGTAGCAACAAAAATAATTTTATTGTTTTAATCTACCTCTTGAGTACAAAGTCCCTTAGATTTCTACATGAGATACCACATAAAATAGGGGAAATTGAATATTTTGCTCCTTGAAAATTGAACCATAATTGCTCTTCATGTTTACAGGAACAGGGCATAACTATGGCAGCATGTAATAAATTATTCTTCATCTTTTTTTGTTTTGTTAATGGCAGTTTATCTACAAACCTCTCCTGAGAGGTGTTATGAGAGACTGAAAAGGCGGTGTAGGGAAGAAGAAAAAGTCATTCCTATGGTAAGGAAAAACTGCCTTCTGACGTGTGTCGAATGAATTGCCCTGACGACTTTTAAAAGGCAGTTGTACTAGAACGTGGGGTGAGCATGCAAGGATTTAGGGGAGCATATGTAAAGGTAAAGGTTTCTCCTTGACATTAAGTCTAGTTGTGTCCAACTCTGGGGGTTGGTGCTCATCTCCCTTTCTAAGTTGAAGAGCCGGCATTTTCCATAGATGCCTCCAAGGTCATGTGGTCGGCATGACTGTATGGAGCGCTGTTACCTTCCTGCCAGAGTGGTACCTATTGATCTACTTACATTTGCATGTTTTCGAACTGCTAGGTTGGCAGAAGCTGGACCTAACAGCAGGAGCTCACCTCACTCCCTGGATTCAAGTCGTCAACTTCAGCTTCTGCCGATATATTAGTTCAGGGACTTCAGCAGCTCAGCAGTTTAACGCGCTGTGCCATTAGGGGCTCCTTGAGGAGAGCATAGACAACATTTAATAATAATAATAATAATAATAATAATAATAATAATAATAATAATAATAATGATATAGGATTTTAACTTGTATTTTAACTGTGTGTACCTTGTTGTGTTTTCATAGTGTTTTCTCTCTTATTTTAACAACATGGTACCGTGCCTCGAGCTGTAGGGAGAGGCATGTAATAAGTGTACTTATTGTTATTATTATAATATTATTACTATTACTACTACTGTTATTATTATCAGCAGCTATGGGTCAGTAAGGGGTGTTTTCCTGAAGCATCTGACAGGTTGCTGAGAGGAAGTTGGATGTTGGGCTGAGAAGTCCTTATTGGGAATAATTAATTAATTGAAATGGAAGCTCTGCACATCAATTTCATACCTGGGGAGAAAATCAAAGGGGCAGGAAATGTTGGAATTTTTATTGATCAAACATAATCTGAATCTTAAAAGAGTTCTGTGTCCACTGGAAGAGTGAATGAATGTATCTATTTGTTTCAGTCACAGACTAGAAAATAAATAACAAAACCAAGTGTAGTTATAACATATTTAGAATGTGGAATTTCATGGTAAATACAGATGGAACAATAATTGGATACATCTACTGCAGCATTATTTACTAAGATTAGTCACTCATTGCTTCTTTGGTTTTATAGTGACCTGACAAAACTAGACGAATGAAAAGTAATTCTCTTTTTTGTGTTTAGGAATATTTAGAAGCTATCCATCTACTCTATGAAGAGTGGCTGATTAAAAAAAACCTGTTTAAAGTTCCTTCTCCGGTGCTTGTAAGTATATATTAATAGTTTTGTTTTGTCAGGAGCAGAAAACATGTTTATGTTGGAATGATTCCACATTTGCAAAAGGATAGAAGAAGGAGTCCTCTCTCCCCATTCCACCTGACCAAGTGTCACTCTAGCCCTGGCATGGGCAAAGTGTTTTGGACTTCAACTCCCACAATTCCTAATGCCCGCTTTGAGTAGCAGTCAACCTTAAAGTTTCAAAAAGTTTTTTTTAAAACATAAAGAACTACATTTCTAAATAGAAAAGATGGGGTCTAGACTATCTAGGTAAAAGTAAATGTATCCCCTACATTAAGTCTAGTCGTGTCTGACTTTTGGTCAGCAAGTTCAGCAGCTCAGCGGTTTAACCCGCTGCACCACCAGGGGGCCCCTAGACTAGCAAAGTCTAAATAGAGATATGGTACTATCTCCATTTTAATCTAAGGCCAAACAAAGGAAGGTCTCAAAAACTATATTCTGCATTCTGCTCTCACACAAAGACATGAGAGAAGAGAGAGAAAGGACCACAAGGCCTTGGGGGCTTAAAAGAAAGAGCATACAACCTGGGAATTATTCTGCCTCATCACTGAGATGGGAGAAGGGAATAGAGTGAGAAAGACACATGCATTCAGAGAGGACTGAGGAAAACGTTTCTTCCAGCTCTTTGATCCTATGATTCTGCATCTGAAAGAATCATAGGAGCTGGAAGAGACCTCAAGAGCCGTCTAGTCCAACCTCCTGCCATGCAAGAACACACAATCAAAGTACTCCCAACAGGTGGCCATCTAGCCTTTGCTTAAAAACCTCCAGAGAAGGAGACTCCATCAGACTCCAAGGCAGCATATTCCACAGCCAAACAGCTCTTACCATAAGAAAGCTCTAATAGGTGGCATCTCTTTTCCTGAAGGTTTCAGACTTTTAACTTTCAATGCCTGGCAACACATACAGTACTTCGTTAACTGAGCCATACCTGTATTTGGCAGCTCTCTGACCGCGTTTCGGTGTATGAACCCATAACAATCTCTTCGATCATCTGGAGAGGCCCTGCTCGCACTCCCACCTACTTCACAGGCGTGATTGGTGGGGACGAGGGAGAGGGCCTCCTCGGTGGTGGCCCCTTGACTCTGGAACTCACTTCCCAAGGACAGCAGGCATGCCCCAACTCTGGCAGTCTTTAGGAGGAGCTTGAAAACATGGTTGTTCCAGTGTGCCTTCCCAGAATAAGGAAAACTCTCAGCAATATGCCCTCAGAATGCACTTTACTACCGGGTTAGGATGGACTGCGTTCCCTCATCTCTCTTTGAAAATTCTATACAAATTATATCATACCCTGTTCATGCCCAGGGTTTATTTTTTAATTTGTAAACAATTACATTTGGCCCGGCCATAGGTTTTAATCTTTGTGTGTTACTGTTTTTTTTTTGGTTATTGTTTATATGTGATTTATATTAATTGTATTGTATTTACTGTTTTGTTTATTCCTTTTGTTTATTGATGTACTGTTGGACTTGGCCTCATATAAGCCGCTCCAAGTCCCTTGAGGAGATGGTGGCGGGGTATAAAGTTTTTATTATTATTATTATATTATTATATTACTGTCCTATCCTAAATAGTACTGCTAAAATTGCATGCCGAACCTTATTATCACTAACTTTTCACATCTTGTTCTGTTTTGAAGGTACTGCAGGCTGATCACGACTTAAAGGATATGCTGGAGACCTATGAAGAAAACCAGGACCGAATCCTAACACCCTACAATATGCAGTATTGTCTATAGAAACTGATTTCTTGTGTTATGAATGGTTTAGTGCAGGTATGGGCAAATTTGGGCCCTCCAGGTGTTTTGGACTTCAACTCCCACCATTCCTAACAGCCTCAGGCCCCTTCCTTTTCCCCCTCAGCCGCTTAAGCGGGTTAGGCGGCTGAGGGGGAAAAGGAAAGGGCCTGAGGCTGTTAGGAATGGTGGGAGCTGAAGTCCAAAACACCTGGAGGGCCCAAATTTGCCCATGCCTGGAACTTTTAGTATGTACATGCTTCACACATCTGACTAGAAATAGCTCTTTCCTGGTTCCCTTGAAACTCCTGCCAGGCAGTTTGAAGATTAAATAAGTAGTTTCTAAAACATTCTAAAACTTTCCTGACCTATTTCCTATTCTCTTATTCTTGTTTGTATTTCGGGCAGCTCTTCCATTCAGTCCTAGACTATGTATTGTTGAAGGTTTTCATGGCCGGAATCACTGGGTTGTTGTAGGTTTTTTCAGGCTATATGGCCATGTTCCAGAGGCATCCTCTGAGGATGCTTGGCATAGGTGCAGGCGAAACGTCAGGAGAGAATGCCTCTAGAACATGGTCATATAGCCTGAAAAACCTACAACAACTCAGTCCTAGATTGTTCGGTGAACTTGGGGCAGTTTGAAAGAAAGGGGTGGATGTTTGTCCAATGACTAATTCCTGGCAGGGAACCCTGAGGGGGAAAAGTGTGAGCACTTATAATGTGTATGTTTATACTTAGTGGGTCCTTTTGTTGTTCCAGAATGACACAATTTTGTAATATGTGTTATATATATCCCCCCTCTATGTAAACTATTACTTCTATTGCCAGGCACCTAACAAGATTTTAAAATGGCTTGTTTTTCCCATACTTCCCTTTTGTGTTTATACAGTGGTTGTGTCTTTATAAAATGTTACTGGTTATAGACTGTTGTTTACAGCAGTGTTTCTCAACCTTCCTAATGCCACGACCCATAATCCTAATGTAAATATCTGCCATGCAGGATGTATTTTCATTCACTGGACCAAATTTGGCACAAATACACAATACATCCAAATTTAAATACTGGTGGGGTTTGGGGGATTGATTTTGTCATTTGAGAGTCGTAGTTGCTGGGATTTATAGTTAACCTATAATCAAAGAGCATTCTGAACTCCACCAACCATGGAATTGAACCAAACTTGCCACAAAAATTTGTCTAATACAACTATTGCAGGCAACTCCACAAATTGGATGGTAAACACTAGCATGACAAAAGTTAGCCTTTCTGTCATTATAGCTAAGTGTCTTCATCAAAAGCTTTCGCAAACGTGAAGGTCTTTAGCTGCTTTTTACAAGATGTCAGGGAAGGGGTTGTTTTAACGTCTTTGAGGAAGGAGTTCCAGAATTGGAGCAGCCACCGAGAAGGCCCTCTCTCTTATCGCCACCAACCACATTTGCGATTGGTCAGATAAGTAAGAAGAACCTGAACCTTCTTAGGTCAGTGTTTCTCAACCTTCCTAATGCCACGACCCCTTAATACAGTTCCTCGTGTTGTGGTGACCCCCAACCATAACATTATTTGCGTTGTTGCTTCACAACTGTAATTTTGCTACTGTTATGAATTGTAATGTAAATATCTGATATGCAGGATGTATTTTCATTCACTGGACCAAATTTGGCACAAATACCCAATAGGCCCAAATTTGAATACCGGTGGGGTTGTGGGATCGATTTTGTCATTTGGGAGTTGTAGTTGCTGGCATTTATAGTCAACCTACAATCAAAGAGCAACCTGAACTCAATCAACAATGAAATAGAACCAAGACCTCCCATGACCAACAGAAAATATTGGAAGGGTTTGGTGAGCAATGACCTCAAGTTTGGGAGTTGTAGTTCACCTACCTCCAGAGAGCACTGTGGACTCAAGCAATGATAGATCTGGACCAAACTTGGCATAAATACTCAATATGCCCAAATGTGAAGACTGTTGGAGTTTGAGAAAAATAGACTTTGACATTTGGGAGTTGTAGTTGCTGGGATTTATAGTTCACCTACACTCAAAGAGCATTCTGAACCCCACCAACGATAGAGTTGGGTCAGACTTCCCACACAGAACCCCTATGACCAACGGAATATACTGTGTTTTGTGATGGTCTTTGGTGACCCCTCTGACACCCTCCCGCGACCCCCACAGGGGGTGTGACCCCCAGGTTGAGAAACACTGTATTAGGGCTTTAAAGTCAATACCAGCACCTTGAATTGGGCCAGGAAAGGAATTGGCAGCCAGTTCAGGTGCTTTAACAGGGGGCTAGTATGCTCCCTGGGTCTAGCACCCGTTAATAACCTGGCTGCAGATCTCTTGACTAATTGAAGTTTCCAGACATTCTTCAAGGGCAGCCCCACGTAAAACCTGTTACAGTAGTCTAAATGGGATCAAACCAAGGCATGGACCACCATGACCAAGTCTGGCTTCTCAAGATATGGGCACACTTAGCGCACAAATTTTAATTGTTCAAAGGCTCTCCTGGCCACCGCCAACACCTGGGCCTCCAGGCTTAGCAATGAGTCCAGGAGGACCTTCAGACTTTGGACCTGTGTCTTCAGGAGGAGTGTGACCACCTCGTGGGCCATCCAGTCCAACCTCATGCCAAGAAGCGGGAAAATCGCATTCAAAGCACCCAGGAGGACCTCCGTCATGTCTGGATTCAATTTCAATTTGTCCTCATCCAGTCCACAACCGCGGACAGGCACTGGTTCAGAATCTGGGCTGCTTCCTTGGCTTTTCTTCATTGTATTCCTGATCAAAACAACATTTTCAAAAGCATTGACTTACCATGATCTGCTGATCTGTCTTGTTTCTCCTTTGAGGGTCACATTTCTCTTTCACTGATTTTTGTGATAGCTACTGCCACATTTCTTTCCATTGTATTATTTATATTAAGGAATGCATATAAAATGTACTGTTTGAAATGTTTATGGAGAGTATGATGTGTTACACTCCTACCATTTATCAGGGAGATGGAAGACGGCAGACGAGACACGAGCTGAAATCTTTGGCACTATTTAAAAACACCTTAGAATCTTGTTTCATTATTTATTCAGATTAAATGGAACTGATTTAAAACTTCTCTGCTTATTCTATTTAGAACATTTCTGAGGCTTAATAGATGATTACACGATGAGATATTCATTGAAAAACTAGCAAAATGTGTTACAGGATGTCCCACAGAAACAAAGTTTTTGCACTTTCAATAAACTTTCCATATTTTACTCACTTGTCACTTGGCTGCTTTTTAAGGTAGAGTTTATTGGCATTTGTGATTATAATGGCTTTGTGTGTGTGAATAGGAAACAGCTAGACAATCATAATTCTCAATGATATCACAAATGACTCGCAAGATGCCAGCCATTAGGCAAAAAATAATGGCACCAGTATATTTCTTAATGAGGGCACTCTTGAGATTGTTTCAAATTACCCCAAAATATCCTGAACTAGAACACCATAGGATCCCCTGGTGGTGCAGCAGGTTAAATTACTGAGCTGCTGAACTTGCTGACCGAAAGGTTGGCAGTTTGAGCTCCTGCTGTTAGCCTCAGCTTCTGCCAACCTAGCAGTTTGAAAACATGCAAATGTGAGTAGATCAATAGGTACTACTTCTGCATGAAGGTCATGTTGGCCACATGATCTAGGAGGTGTCTATAGGCAATGCCAGCTCTTTGTCTTAGAAATGGAGATGAGCCCCCCCCATGTCTGACACAACTAGACTTAATGTCACGGGGAAAACTTTACCTTTAATTTAGGATAGAATAGGTAAATATCCAAGGGTATATCAGAAGTTAGCTTCAGGTTAAAGCAGTGGCACTGCCTTTATGTTGAGTGTTTGCATTTTAAAGGAAAGGATGCAGTGTTTTTCATATATAATCCCCAATCAGATGTGTTTCATGCAGAAATTTGGTCTTAAAACGTGTAAATATTTTCTGTCGCAATTGTTTTGCAGCTGATTAATACTGTTTACATTTGGTCCCCTAATATATTTGTTCTGCCCATAGAATCATAGAGTTGGAAGAGACATCGTGGGCATCCAGTCCAACCCTTGCAAAAAAGCAGGAAAATGCATTCAAAGCACCCCTGACAGATGGCCATCCAGCCTCTGTTTAAAAGCTTCCAAAGAAGGAGCCTCCACCACACTCCGGGGCAGAGAGTTCCACTGCTGAACGCTCTCACAGTCAGGAAGTTCTTCCTCATGTTCAGATGGAATCTCCTTTCTTGTAGTTTGAAGCCATTGTTCTGTGTCCTAGTTTCCAGGGAAGCAGAAAACAAGCTTGCTCCCTTCTCCCTGTGGCTTCCTCTCACATATTTATACATGGCTATCATCTCCTCTCAGCCTTCTCTTCTTCAGGCTAAACATGCCCAGCTCCTTAAGCCGCTCCTCATAGGGCTTATTCTCCAGACCCTTGATCATTCTAGTCGCCCTCCTCTGGACACATTCCAGCTTGTCAATATTTCTCTTCAATTGTGGTGCCCAGCAGTATCCTATGTCTAATCTAGCCCCACAAAACCCATAGCGCCCCTTTATGTCGTCAATATTTTTTAGTTGGTGTTACAGCATGATATTTACATTAGTTCCATAAATAAACATTTCCTTTTTTGCATACTTTTATTCAAGAAATATCAATTTTTAAAATTTTCACATACAAATTTTTTTTGGCAGAGATTGTATTATCCCATTGACACTCTGAATAATTCACGATTTCCTTAAAACTTAAATTCCAGGTGATCAGAGCAAGGAGAGAGAAGGAAACTTTTCATCTGTTCCCATCTAACTTATAGGACTATACCTGCCGTCATACTTTACCACTGGCAGGACCTATGGCAGCTGGAGTTCAAACAGTGGGGGAGTACAGGTTTCTCACTTCTCTGCCTTGTGTGCAGAAGGGTTATAACAAGAATAGCAAAAGGTATGGCACATATTTTTAAGGCTTTCTTTCCTTACGAGAAGCATATTACAAGTCTTTTCTGACTAATAATGTGGCTATAAAACAATGGACCGGGACTAGACAGGGAGAGTAGACCTTGTATGCTGCATAGCCATGCCCATCGCTATGTCTTGTTTTCAGGTTATGGCTTACATTGTGCAAATGCTTCGAAATTGTTGTGGCTCAGTTTGATTCTGAGTCTGAAACTGAACCCTGTGGGTCTTGTGAGCCAGAGTTCCCTGAGAATGATGGGATTCAGGTTTCTGTTGTGCCTGCTTCAGACAGTGCAGCAGGGGAAACATCAAGTCAGTTCTCAGGGGAAAAGAATGTCAGTGGGATAGATAACGGCCAGGTGAAGTTTTTGCCTTCTCAGCCTTCCCACGGTGATCCAGCCCATCTGGACCAAGATAAAGAGAGCCTTGAAGATAGTGAATTAATGAGCAGGCAAGAATGCTTAGAATTAAGGGTTCGGAGGAGCTCTCGCTTAGCTGGTAAGCGAGAGGCCAAGTCGGCCAAGGGTCATTGCAATACGTTCATGATTGCAAAGGGTATTTAGCCTTCTGGCTGACAAACGGGAGTTGTCAGTTCAATGTGGCTCTTTCCATTCAAAGTTCTATGGATTAACCTTGGCTTTAAGCAGCACGCTTTTGGCTTCCTGAATCTGGGATTTTGGGTCTTGTGTATCACTGTTTTACCATGGACTCTTGTTTGATCATTGCCTAAAGGATTATGCTTATTTGCCTTTGGTTTTTGCCTTTGGATCTTGGGAACTGTGTTTTTGCATTTAAGCCTCTGTCCTGCTTGTGGAACTTCTGCATTTCTTATTCTATGTTTTGACTTTGCTTTTTTCTCAATAAACTACAAAATCTACGGCTCTGGTGTGGTGGTGTTTGGAGCAAGGTGAAACTACCCTGAGTTGCAACAGAAATCCTGCTACAGCTTATTTTATGGGTATGTCTTATTTTCTGAGAAACAGGGTATGGAGAAAATGAATAGAGGCAAGAGCTTATACTAGGCTTATCCTTTTGCATCCCCCCCCCCATCTCCTAGAGACTGGTGTTTGCGTGTGGAATGTCTTCATGGCCTTGTTTCTTAGTCAATTAGGCACAGGTATCTATATTGCGATATTACGAAAATGGTATTAATAAAAATAATTCAGAAACAATTTTAGTCTTTCTTTACAGCCCCAACTGGGTACTAAATTATTATTATACTGTAGCTCATGAAACATAACATAATGGTAATTTGAACTTGAATTTATCACACCCAAACCCAGAATTCCAGCCATTAAGATCATCTGGGGAGGCCCTGCTCTTGATCCCGCCGTTGTTACAAGTACAGCTGGCGGGGACAAGAGACAGGGCCTTCTCAGTGGTGGCCCCTCGGCTATGGAACACCCTCTCTAGGGATATTAGATCAGCCCCTTCCCTTTTAACATTCTGAAATAAAGTCAAGACTTGGCTTTGTGAGCAAGCGTTTACAGATACAATATAACAGACATGGAGAGAAAAAAGGGAACAACTAGATCATGCTTTTAACTAAGAGACTCAACTGATACATGTTTTTATTGATATTGATTGTTTTATTTGGTTTTATATTTAAATTCATTGTTTTAATTGTATTTTATGTCTTTGATGCTGACTGTAAACCGCCCTGAGTCGCCTGTGGGCTGAGAGGGGCAGTATATAAATATAGTACATAAAATAAATAAATAAAATAACCTAGATAATTATCCAAAGGAAAAAAGTACAAATATATACAATAACACAACAAGAAGTAATCCCGGGCACAATGTCCTTGTTTTGGGGGATCGTTCAGGTTGTGTTAATTTACAAATAGTCTGTAAGAGTCTTTTGATGTGTGGTTATTTTCTTCTTAAACCCGTGGTCTCAAAATCTTCTCATATGTAGTTATGGATATATTGCTGTCTCTTTAATTACACTTGCTCGGTCTTGTTCCAATTCAAGGCTTTTCCATGCTACTTATCTTCTAAACAAAACATAGGCACATACTGATAGTAACTAACTGATTAACCAGAATAGATATGTATAAATACCCCATATGTTCTACAAACCCTTAGTCTAGTATACCACACATCAAAAGACTGTTACACACCATTTGTAAATTAACACAACCTAAAGGATTCCCTTGAAACAAGAACATTGTATGCGGGATTACTTGTTGTTGTGTTATGAATATATATGTCACATTGCTAGAGCTCTACCTTGCTTAGGTAGAGATGAATCAAACTCCCAGTTTTAACAAACAGTTTAATTGAAATAGCACTTACTTGCTGGCTGTTTTTATAGTCCAAAATATAAAACACAAAGATAGCACGCAGCTACAGAATAAACAAAAACTGATAGCAAAAATAACTTCGTAGTCAAAAGGGTCCAGTCCAATGGTCAAATGCCGAGAGTTCAATAAACAAAGTCCAGGGTTCAAGAGTCTATACCAGGGGTCCTCAAACTTTTGAAACAGAGGGCCAGGTCACAGTGCCTCAAACTGTTGGAGGGCTGGATTATAATTTGAAAAAAGGATGAATGAATTCCTATGCAAATTGCACATACCTTATTTGTAGTACAAACACTTAAAATATAATAATTAAAATGAAGAACAATTTTAACAAATATAAACTTATTAGTATTTCAATGAGAAGTGTGGCCCTGCTTTTGGCTGATGATATAGGATTGTTGTTTTGATGTTTTCAGACTTCGGTTGACCCTCAGTGAGGGCCGAGTAAATGACCTTGGAGGGCCGCATCCGGCCCCCGGGCCTTAGTTTGAGGATCCCTGGTCAAAAGCCGGTTCAAGGTTCCAGGGTTACAAGATTACAGGACACAGGTCAGGATACCGAAAATCCAACAGACATGGGGGGAAAACCACCAGCATCCACCACCAAAATGCAACAGATACTTTTCTCCCAAGGTTAGCTCCTTAAATGAGCTCCCTCTATCAGCTCCAGCTCCTCATGCGGGGACATGAGAGAAGCCTCCCACAAGGATGATAAAAACATCAAATCATCCGGGCATCCCCTGGGCAACGTCCTTGCAGACGGCCAATTCTCTCACAACAGGAGCGGTTTGCAGTTTCTCAGGTCGCTCCTGACACAACAAAAAAAAGCTCTTTAAATCCAGTAACACCCAGCTGCAACCCAACTCCTGCACACCTCCACCCCTAATTGCTTTCACCCATGAACTCCCACTTACAGATCACCAAACTCTCTAGAACTAATACTCACATTAACCTTCCATCACCAACCACCATCAACTGCAGACCATATGACAATATACCAGACATTTGGACTTTTTTTCCTTTTGATATTTATGTAGGTTATGTTTCATGAGTTACAGAATAATAAATTAGTACCCAGTTGGGGCTGTAAAGAAAAACTAAAAATAGTTTTTTGAATTGTTTATTTTTATTGATACAATTTTTGTAATATCTTGTTTCTTAGTCGTCCTTGTTTATCATAACATAACCCTCTAGATTAGTTTCACTCACTGGTGCAAGGCAAGTATTAAAGTCTGCAAAAGAGGAATGGAGAGGACATCCTTCCTGCTTGCACTGAAGGATTGCTGTAAGGCCGCCATGTTCAAGGGTCTTAGGTGCAACAGCGTAAGATGAAGTGGGTTGCTCTCCAACATTCCTAGAGATCTCCCCAGCTCCAGATGTACCTGGATTACCGACTACAAGTTTGTTGTAAGCTGACTCAACAGCAGGACATTCACAGCTGGTGATATTACAGAAAAGGTCTGGTGAAGAATAGCTGTTAATGTTGAAGCCTCCTCTCTTTCTACCAGGTGGATCTTCAAGCTTCATTCCAGAAAGATGAACTTCTTGGTTTGCACTCCTGCTAGTTCTTTGCTCTAATTGTGTTGTTTCCTCTACAGGATACATCAGCTTGATTTTTAGTTTCTTGTTACAGAATAAATCACAAGTGTCCTCTTCTCTGGGTAGGTTACATCCTGTATGCATATTGCTGTGTTGGACAGTGTTGCCTTTCAGTTCTTTGGGTTGGTCTGTAGGATCTGCTCCATAAATGCTGAGGCAGTTCATAGCACTGCAAACCTTAGATTCATCTGTCTCTTGGGTTCTGTAATCATATAGGCGGTGGTTTCCCAGAGTGCCATTATTCAGTATTGCCAAGGCTTGTGGCCCACTAGCATCAGGGGACAGAAGAGTGGCCAACTGTGCCCCGTCGGCTGCTGGGCCCAGTCCTGTCTCAATGAACCCCGTGGCCCGAGTCTCATTGGCTGACGCTTTTGGAGAGAGATCTGTGAAGTGGAGAGGCTTCTGCCCAATGACAATGTCACTGTATTTAATTAAGAAATCCTCACTGTCAGAGCTTTTGACACAAAAGTTTGAGGAAACATCTACACTTCTTTGGTTTGTGTTTGGCTCAGGAAAGTGTTTGGGAATAGCTGTTTGCAAATCTTCAGTAGGACTTCTGTGAGAAACTTCACTTCTGAGCTCAGGATTCTCAGGCCTTTTGAGGGCCAGAGTGCTTTGAGTTAGGTATGTCTCCTGAGGACCATGGTCATCTTGTGCCTCACTTTCTCCTCTAGCAAACACATATTCTTTACTCTGGATAGGCTGCTGCTTTTTATCAAGGTCCTCTCCAGGACTCCAGTGCTCTTGAGCTCGTTCCTGCCGCAGATCCCCCAAATCGCTGTCACTTGTGTCCTCAGCAACTTCGAGATTTTCACACTCAATTCTGGCAAGGAACAGTTCAAATGCAATTTGTTCAGCTTCCTCCTGATTTAGCTTCCTAATTAATGTGAACTCTGTGGCCGTGGTTGCGACGTAGCCAATTTTTCCTAGTAATCTTTCCACAACCTCTTCTGGAAGAACAGATCGTACGTAGTAGACAAAGTTTCCTGTAAAAGTCTGGAGAGGAGGAAAAAGGAACATTAGGAACTTATGACAGCATAAGTTTTGGCTATATGGCTAATAACATATCAGCTTTTATTTAATAATAATAATAATAATAATAATAATAATAATAATAATAATACTTTATTATTCCCCGCCACCATCTCCCCAAGGGACTCGGAGCGGCTTACATGAGGCCAAGCCCAACAACACATCAATAAAACAAGAAAGCATAAACAAAAACAATACAATGCAATAAATTAATATAAACCACATATAAACAATAAGCAATAAACAATAACACACAAGGATTTAAAAACTTATGGCCGAGCCAAATGTAATAGTTTAAAATTTAAAAAATAAACGCTGGGCATGAACAAGGTAGGATATATCTGGTAGGAGGGTTTTCAAAGAAGTGAGGGGAGCGCAGTCCAACCCAATCCAAAAGTTAAAGTGCATTCTGAGGACATATTGCAGGGAATTATTTTCCTTATTCTGGGAAGGTACACTGGAACAGCCACATTTTCAGGCTCTTCCTAAAGACTGCCAATGTTGGGGCATGCCTGATGTCCTTGGGAAGTGAGTTCCAGAGTCAGGGGGCCACCACTGAGAAGGCCCTTTCCCTCGTCCCCACTAATCGCACCTGCGAGGGAGGCAGGAACCAGAGCAGGGCCTCTCCAGATGATCGAAGAGATCGTGAGGGTTTGTACACAGATATGTGGTCACGCAGGTAGGCAGGTCCCAAACCGTTCAGGGCTTTGTAGGTAAGAACCTGCACCTTGAATTGGGACCGGAAAATGAACGGCAGCCAATGTAGCTCCTTATTTATGTTGGAATTCAACCCCACACTGCCCAAGTCTCAAGTACTCAATGAGGAACAGTTTAATTAGTTCAGAACAGACCAGAGATGGAGAAACCCAAGCCTGAGGGCCAGATATGGCTCCTTAGGCTCTTTTCTCAGGCCCCTCTCTTTCTCACCATTCTCTCCTTCCTTCTTTCTTTCTTTCCTCCTTCCCTTCCTCTTTCTCCTTGCCTTCCACCCTTTTGTCCTTCCCTACTTCCCTCCCTTTGATCTTTCCTTCCTTCTCTCTTTAATTCCTCCTTCTCTTTCTCCTTTCTTCCCTCTTCCCTCCCTCTTTCCCCTTCCTTTCCACCCTTTCATCCTTCCTTCTATTTTGTCTTTCCTTCCTTCTCTTTCCTCCCTCCCTCCCTCCCTCCCTCCCTCCTTCCACCCTTCCTCTCTTTTGTCCTTCCTTCCTCCCTCCCTCCCTTCCCTCTTTCCTTCTGTCAGTCCTCCTATGGCTGGGTCCACAAGTTAGAAAGTTTTTCCGTGCCTGTATAGACTGAGGGAATTCCCTTCCACTATGTCTCCTGTATGACAGTTGGAATATATCTAATTTCTTTTCTCCTCTCTGTTTCTGCTCTCATTCTGATGTATTGTTTAACATGAATACTGCAAGCCTTTTTGAATCTGCCTTCTTACACTTTAGTATGGAGAGTATGTGCTGTGTGCTTTAAGATCTCTCTCTGTTTGTGTGTCAGGAGGGATGTAGTAATTGAGTTTTTCCCTCTTGAAACCTTAGAAGAGATGGGTGTTAGAGTAGCTCAGGCCCAGTTCTTGTTTATTAAGAAATGTAGTTATTTTTTATTATTGTATACAAACCTTTTCTGATTATTTTAAAGATTGGACTCTGCATGCTTGCCTCCTAAACTCTAAATTCTTCACACGGTGCTTCACACTCTGCTCGCTAATGAGCTGATGCTCAACTTTTGTATCTTATTTGATTTTTGGATTCTCTGCTATATTTTAGGGTCATTTTCCCTAGCAATGAATTCATTTATTTGTTGTTATATCTCACCAATCCTCCAATGAGGCCACAACAGTACACATGGTTGTCCCCCAAACTTTTATATCCCTGCAAGGTGGACCAAGTTGAGAAAGCATGGGACTGCCCTGCCCACACCATGAGGTTCGTCATTAAGTGGAGACTCGGAGCTGGAATTTTCCAGTCCTACGTGTGAACCACACCCCCATACTGACTTTCTATCTAAATGACAACCAGTTAGAAAGGTATGCTGTTATTATTCTCTAAAATGTAGCCAGCATGTCCAGTCATGACATCCATAAAATTATCAGAGGAAAGTTGAAGAAAGGCACAGGTGTCACTTGAAATCCTTATCTTCCAGAACTTCATATATCTATCTCTCTCTCTCTCTCTCTCTCTATCTATCTATCATCTATCTATCTATCTATCTATCTATCTATCTATCTATCTATCTATCTATCTATCATCTATCTATCTATCTATCTATCTATCTATCTATCTATCTATCTATCTATCATCTATCTATCTATCATCTATCTATCTATCATCTATCTATCTATCTGTCTGTCTGTCTGTCTGTCTGTCTATCTGTCTATCTATCTATCTATCTATCTATCTATCTATCTATCTATCTATCTATTGTTTACAGCATCTATCTATCTATCTATTTATTATTTACAGCATTTTTACCCCGCCCTTCTCAACTCCCGGGGGTTGTTTTCTCTTTCTCTTTTTGTCAATAGCTCTCAAAAAAGTTCCCATTTGGCATGCCCTTTCTGACCAGAGATAGAAGGCCTGCAGTTAATTAACCAAAATTAGAAGGCTTGTAGTTAATTATTAAGAAACTTCAAAATCCAAGCCCACTGCATGTACCGTATATACTCGAGTATACACCGACCCGAATATAAGCCGAGGCACCTAATTTTACCACAAAAAAAACTGAGAAAACGGATTGACTCGAGTATAAGCCGAGGGTGGGAAATGCAGCAGCTAAGGTAAATTGCAAAATAAAAATAGATACCAATTACATTACATTAATTGAGGAATCAGTAGGTTATATATTTTTGAATATTTACAAAAATGGTAATTTGAGATAAGACTGTCCAACTCTGATTAAATGATTATTTACCTTCTTCAATGTAAATGTGCTTACGTATCCTTCCAATAATAATAAAGGGAGTAACATAACAAATGTAATAATAACAATAATAAAAAGAGTAAAATAATGAATGTAGCAATAACATACAGTAAAATAATAAATGTATAATAATAGAGTAAAACGATAAATGTAATAATAATAAATAGAATAAAATAATAAATGAAATGATAATAATAATAATAATAATAACAGAGTAAAATAATAAATAACCTTGACTCGAGTATAAGCCTAGGGGGACTATTTCAGTGAAAGAAGCCCTTCAAATGGGCCTTTTTTAACCGCTTAATAGCTGCTATCTCATAATAGCAAAAAAAGGGTTGGGAGAGAAAAAAGTGTGATTATTAACCAATGAAATACAATACTTCACTTAAATTTCATTGTTGCTTTAGTAATTAATTCTCCTCCTTTTAATATGCTGTATATACTCAAGTATAAGCCTAGTTTTTCAGTCCTTTTTTTAGGCTGAAAAAGTTTCCCCTCGCTTATACTCGAGTCAATGTTATTTATTATTTTACTTTGTTGTTGTTATTGTTATTACATTTATTGTTTTATTATTGTTGTTGTTGTTACATTTATTATTTTACTCTATTTATTATTGTTATTGTTACATTTATTCTTTTACTGTATTTTCATTATTACATTTATTATTTTACTCTATTATTACTGTTATTATTACATTTCATTATTTTACTCTATTATTATTATTATTATTATTTTACTCTATTTATTATTATTGGAGGACATGTAAGCATATTTACGTTGAAGAAGGTTAGAATACTGGTCTAATCAGAATTGGACAGTCTTATCTTGAATTACAGTTTTATGTAAATATTCAAAAACATTTAGCCTACTGATGCCTAAATTAAAATAATTTTATTGGTATCTATTTTTATTTTGAAATTGACCAGTAGTGGCTGCGTTTCCCACCCTCGGTTTATATTCGAGTCAATCCATTTCCCCAGTTTTTTGTGGTAAAATTAGGTGCCTCGGCTTATATCTGGGTTGGCTTATACTCGATTATATACGGTACATGTAAATACACGAACTCAGTGATTGTGCCATTGCTGAGCCTGGAGTACAGGCTCTCATTTAAGTAATCACTTGCTTCCGGAATAACTGTTGACCTTCTAACCAAGTTCAAAAACAAGCTGCCCCTCTTCAATGGGGAAGCTCCAACCTGACTGACAACATGTGGGTGGCAAAAGTTATGGGTTACTGAATGGTATTTTTAATTAGTTATTGATTAGTTAATAGTTATTGACTGGCAACTATTTCATGACAAAATGGATTGATTGGGTGTTTGTTATCGGCTGGAGCTGTCTTCATAGACCTGTCAGCGGCTTATGATACTGTAAACCACCGCCTCCTCCTGAGAAAAATGTATAATATCACAAAGGATTACCACCTCACCCGCCTCATAGGAAACCTGCTACAAAACAGGAGCTTTTTTGTTGAGTTCCAGGGCCAGAGAAGCAGATGGCGGAAACAGAAGAACGGCCTGCCTCAGGGGAGCGTGCTTGCTCCATCCATGTTCAACATCTACACAAAGGACCAGCCACTGCCAGAAGGGACAGAGAGCTTCATCTATGCTGATGATCGTGCCATCACTGCTCAAGCAGGGAGTTTTGAGATGGTTGAACAGAAGCTCTCTGAAGCTCTAGGTGCCCTTACCACCTACTAAAGGGAAAACCAGCTGATCACTAATCCATCTAAAACACAGAGATGTGCTTTTTACCTCAAGAACAGACAAGCATCCCGAGCTCTGAGGATTACCTGGGAAGGAATCCCACTGGAGCATTGCAGCGGACCCAAATACCTGGAAGTCACTCTGGACCGTGCTCTGACCTACAAGAAGCACTGCCCGAATATCAAGCAAAAAGTGGGCGCTAGAAACAATATCATATGAAAGCTGACTGGCACAACCTGGGGATCACAACCAGACACAGTGAAGACATCTGCCCTTGCGCTATGCTACTCTGCTGCTGAGTATGCATGCCCAGTGTGGAACACATCTCACCACGCTAAAACAGTAGATGTGGCTCTTAATGAGATGTGCCACATTATCACGGGGTGTCTGCGCCCTATACCACTGGAGAAATTACACTGTTTAGCTCAGGGGCCGGATATGGCCCTCCAAGGTCATTTACCCGGCCCTCGCTCAGGGTCAACCTAAGTCTGAAACGACTTGAAAGCAAACAATAACAACAACAACATTCTTATCTCATCAGCCAAAACCAGGCCCACACTTCCCACTGAAATACTAATAAGTTTATATTTGTTAAAATTGTTCTTCATATTAATTATTGTATTGTTTTAAAAAATTTTTGGACTACAAATAAGATATGTGCAGTAAAGATAGGAATTCATTCATTTTTTTCAAAATATAATCCGGCCCTCCAACAGTTTGAGGGACTGTGGCCTGGCCTTCTGTTTAAAAAGTTTGAGTGAAAGCAAAGTGCGTAAGTGGGTACGACAATTCAAAGATGGCCGTGACAACGTCCATGATGAGGACCGCTCCGGTCGCCCTTCTTTGATTACAGACGATTTGGTTATCGGAGCAGGCGGCAAGTTTTTATGAAGAGGGTATTTTAAAATTGGTTCAGAGGTATGATAAGTGTTTGAACAAACTTGGCAACTATGTCAAAAAATAGAGTGAAGTATGTACTTTCCGAAAATAAATTTACTTTTTTGAAATAAACTTTCGTTGTGTACTTACGTTCCAACGGACCTTACTTAAAAAATACCCCTCGTACAATTGTCTGGTTGCCCCGACGCAATCTATGTATATAATAAAAGTCAGTGTTTGTATGCGGAGGATGGTGTATGTGCCAGTGTTCTGATTGGCTTCCACTGTGGTACAATTTGCATATGGACTCTGATTGGCCACCAGAACATTCTGAGCTAGCAGAGGGAAAAGGAAAGGGGCCTGAGGCTGTCAGGAATGGTTGGAGTTGAAGTCCTAAACACCTTGTGGCCCCCAATAATGACAGAACAAGACCAAATCTGGCACACAAGACCCACTCAACATCCTGGTGCAGTTTGAGGGAGGATGGACCATGGATGATGGGACTTGCAGTACTTTAACTCACTTCCTTAGAGCACTGTGGCCCACACCAAGGACGGATCAGGACCAAACTTGGCACAAAGAGGCCCAATGGCCCGCTTTACAACTTGGTGCGGTTTAGGGCAGGATGGGCCACGAATGATGGGATTTGCAGTACCTTCACCCGATTCACTTCTCACAGAACATTGTAGCTCCTACAAACCATAGACCAGGTCCAAACTTGGCACACAGAGTACTCATGACCCACCCTACATCCTGATGCAGTTCTAAGGGGGATGGACTATGGATGATGAGACTTGCAGTACCTTTACTCACTGAAACCACTACAACCCTCATCCAATTTCTGATCAAGACCAAATTGGCACCAAGAGCTTCCATGACCCACTCTCCATCCTGCTGCAGTCTGGAGGAAGGTGGGCCATGGATGATGGGACTTGCAGTACCTTCACTCACTTACTGAAACCACTGCGACCCTGAACCAATGAGTCATCAAGACCAAACTTGGCACATAGAGCCCCCCTTACCCTATCTACATCCTGTTTCAGTTTGGAGGAGGGTGGATCATGGATGATGGGACTTGCAGTACCTTCACTCACTTACTGAAACGACTGCGACCGTCATCCAATGTCTGATCAAGACCAAACTTGGCACAAAGAGCCCCCATGACCCACTCTACATCCTGCTGAAGTTTGGAGGAGGGTGGGCCATGGATGATGGGACTTGCAGTACCTTCACTCTACATCCTGCTGAAGTTTGGAGGAGGGTGGGCCATGGATGATGGGACTTGCAGTACCTTCACTCAATTACTGAAACCACTGTGACCCTCATCCAATGACCAATAAAGACCAAACTTGGCATACAGAATCTCCATTACCCACTTTCTCTAATAATCCGGGCAGCGCCGGGTCCCCAAGCTAGTAAATAAATAAATGGGGGAAGCTCCAACCAGATTGGCAACATGTGGGTGGCAAAAGTCATGGGTTTGGTGTTACTGAATGGTATTTTTAATGGCCAAAGTTACTGATTAGTTATTGACTGGCAACTTTTTTCATGACAAAAGGGATTTGTTATGGGCTGGTAACTTGTGGATGGGAAAAGTTGCTGAGCTGGAAGTTTGGCCTGGCGACCGCTCTTGTGGGAGACTCTTCTTCCCTTGTTGGCTGACCTTGAGGGCGCGGGCCTCCTTCCTCCAGGGCGCCAGGGCGAGGTGGACGCAGAGCAGCTCCAGGAAGCCCAGGGCGGGCGCCAGCCTCGCCTCCTTCCCGGCCAGGCCGCCCAGCCCCAGGGTCCTCTTGGCCGGCCCGGGAAGGAGGCGCCTGGCTCGCTCCCGCAGCGCCGCCTCCTCGCAGAGGGACAGCCGCCCTTCCAGCCAGTGCGCCCGGTAGAAGGACACCAGGTCCCGGCACAGCAGGGCGGCCTCGGGGCCCCACGGCACACGCATCCTCCCTTCTCTTCCGCCTCTTCTGCCCACCTGAGGGAAACTCCACAGACACTTGGTGGGCGGGGAAGAAAGGCCGCCCCGCCGCCTCTGATTGGCCCACGCCCTTCGGGGCCGGCGTTCCTGTGGCCCAGCCGCGTGTCAGTCAAAGCAGGGGCGGGACTTGACTTTGCTCCCTGCCAGAACCAGGAAAAGACTCCAGAGAAGTGAAAGTGAAACAAAGGGCGGCTCTCAAGGCAACGCTATGGCCTCCTTTCCTCATCAAAATCTGGCTACCATTATTTAAAAAACTAAAATAATAACAGTAAATAAAGAACAATACTCAAATGCAGGGGAACTCCAGACAGGAAAACAACAGGGACAGCTCATCACCTCTCAACAAAGGATCCCCCCACTTGAACTGCTAGGCCATTAAATCAAGGTGGCCAATTGAAGCATTCACACCTACCTCTAACAGACAAAGAGTTCTTTGGGTTGTTGTAGGTTTTTTCAGGCTATGTGGCCATGTTCTAGAGGCATTCTCTCCTGACGTTTCGCCTACATCTATGGCAAGCATCCTCAGAAGTAGTGAGGTCTGTTGGAACAAGGAAAACAGGGTTTATATATCTGTGGAATGACCAGGGTGGGACGAAGGACACCTGTCTGCTGGAGCTAGGTGTGAATTGGGTTGTTGTAGTTTTTTTCAGGCTATATGACCATGGTCTAGAGCAGGGATCCTCAAACTAAGTCCCGAGGGCCGGATGCGGCCCCCCAAGGTCATTTATCTGGCCCTTGCTCAGGGTCAGCCTAAGTCTGAAATAACTTGAAAGCACACAACAACAATCCTATCTCATCAGTCAAATGCAGGCCCACACTTCCCATTGAAATACTATTAAGTTTATATTTGTTAAAATTGTTCTTCATTTTAATTATTGTATTGTTTTTAAGTGTTATTTGCACCACAAATAAGATATGTGCAGTGTGCATAGGAATTCATTCATGTTTTTTTTTCAAATTATAATCTGGCCCTCCAACAGTTTGAGGGACTGTGAGGTGGCCCTCTGTATAAAAAGTTTGAGGACCCCTTCTCTAGACAATGGCCATATAGCCCGAAAAAACCTACAATAACCCAGTGATTCCGGCCATGAAAGCCTTCGACAATACTAGGTGTGAATGTTTCAACTGACTACCTTGATTAGCATTTGATTGCCTGGCAGTGCATGGAGCAATCTTTTGTTGAGAGGTGATTAGATGTCCGTGTTTGTTTCCTCTCTGTTGTTGTGCTGTTCTAATTTTAGAGATTTTTAATACTGGTAGCCAGATTTTGTTCATTTTCATGGTTTCCTCCTTTCTGTTGAAATTGTCCACATGCTTGTGGATTTCAGTGGCTTCTCTTGTGTAGTCTGACATGGTGGTTGTGAGAGTGGTCCAACATTTCTGTGTTCTCAAATAATATGCTGTGTCCACGGCTGGTTCATCAGGTGCTCTGCTATGGCTGACTTCTCTGGTTGAAGTAGTCTGCAGTGCCTTTCATGTTCCTTGATTCGTGTTTGGGCGCTGCGTTTGGTGGTCCCTACGTAGACTTGTCCACAGCTGCATGGTATACGGTAGACTCCTGCAGAGGTGAGAGGATCCCTCTTGTCCTTTGCTGAACGTAGCATTTGTTGGATTTTCTTGGTGGGTCTGTAGATAGTTTGTATGTTGTGTTTCCTCATCAGCTTCCCTATGCGGTCAGTGGTTCCCTTGATGTATGGCAAGAACACTTTTCCTCTGGGTGGATCTTTGTCTTGACTCTCATGGCTTGTTCTCGGTCTTGTAGCTCTTCTGATGTCTGAGGTGGAGTCTCCATTGGCCTGTAGAGCCCAGTTTAGGTGGTTCAGTTCACCTTGGAGGAAGTATGGTTCACAGATTCTTTTTGCACGGTCTGCCAAGGCTTTAATGGTGCTTCTTTTATCAAATGCTAATCAAGGTGGTCAGTTTTGGGAGTGTTTAGGAATGCAGGCAAGCCTGTGTTCTTGCACATTAAGAGAAAACTTCATGCCAGAGATAGAACATAGAAAGTAAAGGAGAGGTTCCCAGCAACACGTCCCAAAAGCACTTTATTAGAGATTAAGATTGTCCGCACATTGCACCTATCCAAAAATCCTTATATATCACTCAGCATACTCAGCACTTTTTAATCTGTACCCATTACATTTGCCCGGCCTAGTTTTTATTGTATCACGGTGTGTTGTTTTATTGTTTACTGTTATTGCTTTAATGTTTCTGATTTTCTTTTGGTTTATATGTAATTGTTATATTGTTGTTTTATTGTGGCCTTGGCCTTTGTAAGCTGCATTGAGTCCTTCGGGAGATGCTAGCGGGTACAAATAAAGTTAATAATAATAATAATAATAATAATAATAATAATAATAATAATGAGAAGATATTGGAAATATAGATATTGATTTATGTATAAATTGTATGTACTTTACAAACATTGAAATGTATAGAAAAATCAAGTTCTCTCTGTATCAGAAAGAATGCTGACAGGACAAGCAAGCTATGTCCAGGCACAGCAAGAGGGAGGGGAACATTACAGGAGAGAGATAAGCCCATCCTAGTAGCAACAGAGACTGGTACCGAGCCCAGGCTATGGCTAAGTGAGGAGCCTCATGACAGGTCAAAGTAGGCCCCTTATTTGATGAATGTAAGCTGTATGCTGCTCTTTAGAAAGAAATACACAGCAGCATGCCTTTTGTATGTTGGAAGATAGAATTTGATATTCCTATGATGCTAAAGTGACACAGAGAATGATGTCAATGTATGTAGAAGCATGTTCTTTGTTTGCCTGCAATTGGAGCCATAGTCAACGCCTATATCGGGGCTCTGGTGCTTTTGGACATAGCTCCACTCCAGAGTCCCAGCTGGAAATAAAAGTGTGCTTTTTCAGACCTCCGGAACTCCCTTTGTCTCTTTTCCTCAAACCTTCTCCTTGCCATTTCACCTGTAGTATAAACATGCTTGACTGTATAACTATGAGATTTCTTTTTGAGCTGGGATCAGTGACATAATTTTGTTGTGATCCCGTATTATTACTTGGGTGCCACATATCAGTTATCAGATGAATGGATTCCATTGAATGCTGTTTATAAATGTCAACAGCTCTGCTTACGAGAATTCAAAGCATGTCTCCCAATTTGGATGTGGCGTTTAGCAACATTATTTATGAAGATCATATTTTCCTTTAAAAGTCATTATGCACTTGTCCTTCAAGAGCACTGCGATGCTTTCTGTAAACACATCTGGCCACGAAAAAAAGCAGAAGAGTGTTCTGGATTGGAAGGATTTGCCTAAATGAAAATCATTGCTCTGAAAGAAAACAGCAAGACTCACAGACATATCCAACTCCATCAAGTATTTCCAGATGGAGAGATTGTGATTGCCGGTATGTCTGGGGGTGCACCAGCGTTTCTCAACCTTCCTAATGCCGTGATCCTTTAATACAGTTCCTCATGTCATGTTGACCCCCAACCACAACATTATTTCCGTTGCTAGTTCATAACTATAATTTTGCTACTGTTACGAATCGCAATGTAAATATCTGATATGCAAGATGTATTTTTATTCACTGGACCAAATTTGGCACAAACACCCGATAGCCCCAAATTTGATTGCTGGTGGGGTAGGAGGGGATTATTTTGTCATTTGGGAGTTGTAGTTGCTGGGATTTATAGTTCATCTACAATCAACGAGCATTCTGAACTCCACCAATGATGGAATTGAACCAAACTTGGCACACAGAACTCCTATGACAAACAGAATACTGGAAGGGTCTGATGGGCATTGACCTTGAGTTTTGCAGTTGTAGTTCACCTACATGGATTCAAACAATGATGGATCTGGACCAAACTTGGCATGAATACTCAATATGCCCAAATGTGAACACCAGTGGCGTTTGGGAAAATAGACCTTGACATTTGGGAGTTGTAGTTGCTAGGATTTATAGTTCACCTACAATCAAACAGCATTCTGAACCCCACCAAAGAGAGAATTGGGCCAAATTTCCCACACAGAACTCCCAAGAACGACAGAAAATACTGTGTCTTTGGTGACCTCCTCTGACATCCCCTTGCGACCCTCCCCCCCAGAGGTCCCAACTCCCAGGTTGAGAAACGCTGATCTACACTATGCTATGAAGTCCTGGGAGCTGTCATTTTACAAGGACTTTCCCTCTCTCTGCCAAAGAGTGCCGATACCTCACCAAACTACACTCACCCTCTCAAATTTTGGTCACATTGCAGAACACATATGTATCCTTGTGATGAACACAGACCTTGGAGACCTCTTCTTCTGGAGTCAAGGCACATCCCCATGCATCTTTTTGGATCCTCATAAAAGATCCTTTCAAAATGATGGTCAAATCGTGGAATTTATCTATACCCATAGACTGATCCTATGAGAGAAACAACATAGAATCATAGGCCCCATCTACACTGCCATATAAAATCCAGACGATCTGTTTTGAACTGGATTATATAGCAGATAATTTGGATTGTTTGCTTTGATATGGTAGAGTAGATCCAGCCATAGAATTGAAAGAGGCCACATGGGCCATCCAGTCCAACCCCTTGCCATGTAGGAAAAGGACAAAGTTCCCCTGACAGATGGACATCCAGCCTCTGTTTAAAAGCTGGATGCCCAAAAGCTGAAGGACAAAACATCAGTGGTTCTCAACCTGTGGGTCCCCAGGTGTTTTGGCCTACAACTTCCAGAAATCCCAGCCTATTTACCAGCTGTTAAAATTTCTGGGAGTTGAAGGCCAAAACATCTGGAGACCAAGAGGTTGAGAGGATAGGGCTTCCACCAGACTCCGAAGCAGAGTTCCACTCTTGAATAGCTTTCACGATCAGGAGGTTCCTCCTAAAATTCAGGTGGAAATGCTCCATTGAGTCCTAGTTTCCAGGACAGCAGAAAACAAGCCTATTCCTTAGGATAATGTAGTGAATCTTACCTAGTAGGCCAGAAAGAAACCTGGATAACAGTATGGCAAACCTCCATTTTGAGAGTGTAAGCCAGGGAAGCAGCCATCTTGAGTGAGGATAGGT